TGGGAAAATCCTGTGTACCATAGGATGTTTAGCAGCATTTAGCAGCATTCCTCTACCCACTAGATGCCAGTAGCAACCCCCTCCCTCTAGTTACGACAACCAAAAATGTCTCCATACATTGCTCCCCTGGGGAGCAAGATCATCTTCAGCTGAGAACCACTGATACAGACCCTTAATATCTTCTGCCAAACTCTTGAAGAGCCCCTTGACTTCCAGTGATGCAAAATCCCTGATTGGCCCATTGCTTAAACTGAATGGGAAAGGAATAGATAACAGAAAAACTACCTGAGTGTACCAAATAACAACTGAAGTTATGAAACAACTACCTTGAATCTTCTGCTTTGAAAGGGTGTCTATTTATCTATCTTTTGGGCAGACAAAAGGCTTCAGATGAAAAGGATTGAGTCGATTACATCCTTCAATCCATGATATCATTGGTCCTTTCTCTTAGATATGTATATAAATGTATTTCTATATTTTCTGTATCTCCATTCCTCGTTCTCATTCCCTCACTCCCCAGTGGAATCTATTCTAACATATTTAACATATAACCTTTTGCTTATGTCTTTGTATTAATATAATGGGTACAATTTTGAATATATTCTTCTCATTTAAGTAAATAGAGTTCCATAATCACTCATCCCCAACTCTTAAACAGCTTACACAGCTCTAGATAACAAAATTTTTTCCTTAAACTCACTAGGCAGCAAAATCTGACTGGAACAACATGAGGTTATTCATAGTTCTTTATCCACTTAATGTAACTATTCCTACACTTTGCTGAGCAAATATTGTATTTGATCATGAGATACCACCTCTTCCCTTTCTAAAATCCAAATTTTTTGAATTCCAAAACAAATCTGACCTGATCTTATTCTATCTTTACCTTTATATTTCAGCCAAGTATTATTAATATCTTTTTAAGATATATTCATGTTACCGCAGGTACATCTAGTCCATTACTTCTAATTGCTGTGGACTGCACCATGAAGTGGATCCTTCACAATTTACCTACTCACTCCCCCAGTGGTGGGCAGCTAGATTGCCTCCAGCTTCCCAACAGTATGAACAATGACTCAATAAACATCCTAAGACATATTCTTTTGTGGACCTGTATGAGAACCTCCTGGGTATATACATCCAAGGTAGAATGGCTGGGTCACAGGTGTGAGTATACTTAATCCGACCAAGTAATACAAGTATGCCCTCCAAAATAGCTATGTCAGTCAACTTCCACTGTATGAAAGATCTTGAATCCCACATTTCCCCAACATTTATCAGTATCCAATGCTCTAATTTTGCCTGTCTAAGAGGGACAAAGTCATATCTCATTCTTGTTTTCATTTATGTTTTCCAATATATCTAAGCATCTCAGTATGCTCATTAACCTTTGGGGTTTCCTCTCTGTAAATTGCCTGTTTACAAGCTTTGCCCATTTTTATTAAGATTTCCATATTTTTCTTGCTAACTTGTAGGAGTTCCTTGAATGATCTCTTATTGGTTTTAGACATTGAAAAATATCTTCTCCCAATCTTCCAGCTGTTGGTTAATTTGGTCCATGGATAACAGGAACTGGTACAACAGAAATCCTTAATTTTTATGTAATCTAAATTATCAGCATTTTACGTTATAGTTTGGGGCTTTCAATGTTTTTAAGAAGTCCTTCTCACTTCTGAGTGACAAAGATAGTCCTCTATATTTTCTTCTACTACTGTAACAGTTTTACTTTTAACATTTAGTATTTAACCCACTTCCAAATAGATTCACTTATATATGTTGTTTTAGGTTGAAGTCCAGTTTTATTTTTCACAATACAGTAAGCATTTTCTACTAAACAGTCCATGCTTTCCTCCTTGATCTAGGTGTCACTGTATTTTATAATAAATACCCAAATATATAAGTCTCTGTCTGTTAACAATTTCTCTATTTTCTTTCAATGATCTATATGTCTATTATTTTGCAAATACCACTGTTTTTATTTGTATTGCTTTGAAGTATGTCTTTTGGAACTATATCTCTATGTGGTAGGGCCGGTCCATCTCTTCATTATTCCTTGAATAGTTTAACTTCAACATTCATGGACTTTTATTCTTATATATGTATTTTAGAGTAAGTTTATTGTTAAATTTCTCAGGAAATTTGTTCATAGTTTATATTGGAATTGCATTTAATATGTTAATTAATTAGAAGAGACTTAAGCTTTTTATACATTGATCTCTTCCACCCGAGGATATAGAATTATTTAAGCAAATCATCCTATGTTCTTGATTAGACTTTCAAATTTTTCTCCAAAGACTATTCTATAGTTACCCTAATTTATGTAATAATCACAACAACACTATATTTTAGGTACTTTTATTATCATCATTTTCCAGATGAGAAAACTGAGTCCAGAGAAAAATAAATAACTTGTCCCAAAACAGACAGCAAGTAAATAGCAGAATATGGATTCAAATAGCTTAGAGTCCATACTCTTCACTTCTATACTGCACCTCTATAGGCAGTGACATCAGTTTGGCTGCTTCTATGAATGCTATCTTCTTTTTATTTACTATGTTTCTGATAGGTTGTTACAGATATAGAGAAATTTGGTTGATTCTTTAAAGTTGATATGTATATCTAGTGAAGTTGCTGAATTCTCTTATTAGTTCTAGTAGTTAGTCTATTCATTTTTTGTGTGTGTGTGTTTGTATATCAACTGTTAATAATGAGAGTTTTACCTTTTGCTTTCCAATGTGTAAATCTCTCATTTCTTTTTCTTTTCTTACAGCATTGGCCAAGACCTCCAGTACATGGTTATACACTATGTAGTAGTGATCATGGGCAAAACTGTCTCTTATAAAAAAGTAATATTATCCCATAAGATTTTCATTTCATCTTGGCTATAGTGTATCAGCACATCTGTTTAACAGAACTTGAGGTTATAAAGTGTCTGGTGGCCAAGAATCCATTCTCAACAGAGGCACTATGCTCATTTAAGTAGCAGAAACTACTTTCCATAGAAGACAACCCTTCCAGCGAAGAAATAGCTCCCTTATGATGAACTTGACTTCATTCTGACTTTAAGTACATTTAACTCCACCCTAAATCCCTGTGGCTATAATACAGCTCTGCAACCTGTCATTTGCTTCACACAAACTTTTCAACTTGATTGTTTCTGACAACGGGTTGCTCTGTATCCCCCATGGGGGAATTCACTGACGGCAGCATTGGACAGGCATTAAAGATCAACTATCTCTCTCATTTTACACACACCTAAAATTCCCTGTGGTAGTGCCTCATCCCCTTCAAGCACAAGATACACCTGGGAAGGCTTTTGTCAACAATTGAGGAGGGCCTGAGTCAGACCAGGGACTGCCATGGTTTACTCCTCATTGGCCTGATCCCCCATCTTTAGCAGAGGTCAGCCCTGCTGAGCATTCATGGTAGCACTCCAAGGCCTACAGTGACCTCTTCTGTGCAGACTTCCATGGGGCTAAGAGGAGAGAAAGAGGAAGTACCCACTCTTATCTCTTGGATCCCAAAAGGCTTCTCCCTATCTAAGATTGGTGCATCTGCACAAAGGTAAGCCCTGGCAGCTTACCTGTTGTTAGGTCCTGGCGCTTGGGTACAGTCAGGCCCATTGGAAGCTCCCAGTGGGAGACCAAACACACTCTCCCCCTCCCCACACCCAGGGTGAGTAATGCCTGTGGGAGAAATAAGTGAACTGAAAAGTCCCACAGAAACCTCAAGCCCAGCACATCCAAATGGGACTTCTCACCGTCTCCTCCAAACTCACTGCCCTCTTACAGTAACCCCTGCTACAAGAACTGGAACAATCCCCATGCCACCATTCTCAGGGCTTTCCTCTCCCTCCCACCTGAGGACTTACCAAGCCTTGGCCCATCGCCCCCCTTAGAATCCTTGGTGCCCACCCCCTGTTCTTCCTGAATGGGGACTTGGCCATGCCATGTCAACTGCTCCCTCTGCTCCACTCCTGACCCTGTGATCCATCCTCCACCTGGCTGCTGGAGGGATCCGTCCATCATACAAATCCCACTGTATCTCGCTGCCTACAACCCTAGAAGACTCCCCACCACTCTCGGGCAGACCCTACACTCCTGAGCGTGGCCTCCACTGTCCTCATGGCCTGGCCGCACCCAGCTCTCCAGCCTCACACTCTACTAGGAACCCAGACCCTCACCTCCCACCACCCTCCCTGACAATGCTCCCGACCCCTGTTTCCCCTGACAAGAACTTGCATGCCATCCCACTGGAGTGGTCTACTGCCTACCCGTCCTTGAACACTCATGGTGTCAGGGTCTCCTGCTCCTGGGAGCCTTTGCTGCCCCCCGAACCCCACGGCTCCAGCTGAGCACGTACTGTTTCTCTGCGCCTTTCCTCCCAGGACCCTGTGCTTCCATCTCACTGCTCTCTCCCGGACGCTGTCAGAAACTGGATTCTCTAAGAGAGTAATAATTGCACAGCCAGGCAGCTTTCATCCCTTTTCATATTTCAGAGAAGACCCATGCACAAAACACAGTGAATCAGATTTGGTGTGGGGTACCCCAAAGGGCCACCTGGAGCAATGTCTAGCTGGCACACCGTGGGCCATCTGAAGGAATAAATGATGAATGAATGGCTGGCCCACTCCCATCCAGAAACAGGCAGAGATCAAGTTCTTAGCACATCCCAGATACAGGAGACAAGGGGTAGCACCACTCCCGCGATCTGTCTGTAGGGGGAGCTGCACAGGGGCGGGGCAGAGCTCGGTGTCTGCGCCTGGGGGCGTCCGGCCGAGGCCTGGGGCTGAGGGTGGTTGGCGGGGGGTCGAGCCTGCCAGTTGACCCCGCGCAGCAACTCCGCGAGAATTTCGCTTTCGCTTTGCCCCTGGCCGCAGGCGGCGGGGCCGTCCCTGAGCGACTGCGGCCGGGCACCCCGGGAGTTGATTGGGAAGCGCCGCGAGTCCCGCGGGCCGGCCGGACTCCACGTGTCACCGAGAAACTGATGTAGAGAGAGACCGGAGTCCTGGGAAAGTCCTGCCGCGCCTCGGGCAATTATAAAAATGTGGCTAAGCGGGTCAGCCTCCCAGACACCGCCCTCACCTGCTGTGGCCACAGGTCCGCATCCAGCTGCCCGCTCGGTGTCCGCGCAGCGCCGGCTCAGCATGTGTCCTCCGCGCGGTGAGTACCGGCCCCGCGCTCGCTCGGTGGGCCCGGCGGCTGCCTGGGAAGAGAGGCGGGAACTCGGGCCTGCCTAAGGAGAGACTGCAAGACAGTCAGCTATCGCCTGCAAAGGAGAAAAGGGGGGAAATGAGGATTGGGCGCCTACAGTGCACTAAAAAGGGCATTGTCTCTTTTCTTCCTGAAACAACCTGGTGAGCTATCATTATGCCCACCTCACCGATGAGAAATTGAGGCCCAGAGGGGGAGGTTTCTTGCCTGGGGTCCGTCAGCTACAGCTAAAAGAAGGCAGATCCCAGCCAACTCTAAGTCAGGCTTTGTTACCCACTTTTTCCAAAATACTGGGTCCTGAGGCTGCTTCAGTCTCTTCATCACATGGCCTCAGTTTCTCTGCTCAAAAAGCCTGAGGCTTTCTCTAGGTGGGCACTGAGTCCAACACCCTGTCGGAGCTCATCCAGGTGCGCTCACTGCAGGCTGGCCTCCAGCCCTATAGTGGAGTGCTGCTTTCTAATAATATTCATCTCTCAGGTGTTGAAGCAGGGTGGTGTTGGAATTGGGTGGAGGGAGGGCGGTCCAAGCAGAAATGGCTGGCACAGATGGCCAGAGGCATGGAAGGCACAGGCAGCCAAGCCAGACCGCAGCTCAGCCCGCCCTCGCTTCCCCTCCAGACCTCCTTCTTGTGGCCACCCTAGTCCTCCTGGACCACCTCAGCTTGGCCAGGAACCTCCCCACGACCACACCAGGCCCAGGAATGTTCCAGTGCCTTCAGCATTCCCAAAACCTGCTGAGAGCTGTCAGCACCACGCTTCAGAAGGTGAGCTTTGCGCTGCTTTCTCCCACTGCACAGCCCCCTGCAGAAGGGGCCTCTGAACCTGTCCTCTGCTACCTGAAGGGACTGCAGGGAGATTATGGAAGTTCATCAGTAGCTGTGAGGAGAGGGAGAAGGAGCTTTACAAATGGCCCAGCTATTAGCTAAAGAGCCCCAGTGAAATCATGTCTTCAGAGAAAGTAAGACTGGTAATAAATTATAATGGCATTTGTTTTGGCTGTGTCTACACAGAGTAAAGTGGGTATTTACAGTGTTCCTGTGGCCTGCCAACAGAGATGGAATGGTGTCAGGACCACACTGTTTCTCTGACACCACTTATCAATCCAGGAAACAGGTACTAGGTGCATACTCTGTGCTGGGGGCTACGGAGATGAGTTAGACTTGTCCCTGTGGCTGCTGGTCACCTTCCACTTTGCTGACACAGTTCCTTGTCCCAGCAACACATCTCAGGGAGGATTTGACAGTGTACGTCCAGCCTTCATTGTCCAGGGAAGAATTATCTAATTTTGTTTACAGCTTCATTTGTCTTTTTAGGTTTCTCATTTCAATGCAAAAAAAATTTTTTTTGCCCTTTAAAAATCGCTCCAATAGTTATTGCTGCAAAGGGTAAAGATGGATTGTTTAAAAGATGTCCTCTTGCCTTCCTGCTCTCTAGGAAATCTTTCTTGAGTGTTTTCTAGCTTGTTGCATTATGAATATCTTAAAATAAGCTCACTGCCAAGACCTTCCTAAAGAACTCTTTTTACCTTGTTATCTTTCATAATGCGCTATCAATTATTCCTCCCAATTCAATCAATCTTAATTAGACAGGGGCCTCAGGAAGTAAAAACTGCAGAGTAAGTGCTTTGTTTCCTGAAGAAAAGTTCAATGTGGGTAAAAGGTAGGAGGTCTAATTTGCATAGATGCTTTATGTGAAAAAACTGACTCTTCTACTCCCAGATGCAGTCCTAGGGTCAAAAGATTACAGAATTCAATTTGGTATTTTTTAGATCATTCCTTTGTTAAATTTGCCAGAACAAACCAACAGTCTCCTGAAGAACACAGAGGTGACAGATGCATGTGATTCATAGGCTGTATCCAGCCCACAGATTTGTAGAGTTGGGCCATATTCTTATTTTATTTTTCAGTTTCATGCCATTGAAAAATTGGACTTTTCATATAAGATTCCAAATTTCCAGCTTCCCTTGAAAAGATCTGAAGAACCTCAACATCGGGCCTACACCTTCAAATCTAACTCTTTACAACCTGTTCTAAATAGTGGTTGCCCAGGTCTGCTAAAACACCTCCCAGAACAGCATATTAGTTTCCTGTTGCTGCTGTAACAAATTACCAGAAATTTAGTGGGTTTAGAAAACACGAACTTACTATCTTACAGCTCTGGACATCAGAAATCCAAAATGGGTTCTACTGGGCTAAAATTGATGCGTTGGCAGAGCTGTGTCCCTTTCTAGAGGTTCTTGGGGAGAAGCCGTTGCCTTGCCTTTTCAAGGTAGAGGCTGCGCACATTCATTGGCTCATAGTCCCCTTCCGTTGTCAAAGCCAGAAATGACTGGTTAAGTCTTTCTCATGCTGCATCACTCTGAACTAACTCTTCTGCCTCCCTCTTCCACGTATGAGGACACCGATTACATTGGGCCCACCCAGATAATCCAGCTGACCTTTAAGCTCAGCTCATTAGCAAGCCGAATGTCATCTGTACCTTAATTCCTCTTTGCCATGTCAAATACCACATTCCCAGGTTCTAGGGATTGAGAGGTGAATACCTTTGGTAGCAGGGCATTTGTCTACCTACCATAGGTAGGTAGTTTACTACTTGTGCCCAAATGTGGTCTACATTATTGGGCCTTGATTCGTGTCTTATAGAGTTATTCCTGCCTGAAATTCCCCTCTCTATCCCTCAACATTCTAATCCTCTTAAGGCAGCTGTCCAATCTGCAGAAAGACTTTGCTTCCCTTTCCGCCCCTCCTCAGAAGCTCCATACCCTTCTCAGCACTTCTTGCCTACTAATTCGTCTCCTAGTCTGGGCACTTGCCTGCCTCGGCAGCTAAACTTGGAATTCAGAGGGCATCACACAGTCCTCTCTTTTGTCATGTTCCTTAGAACCTAAGGGAGTGCCTGGCACGCATCAGGCTGTTGAATGGAAAAATGATCCCAATTGTCAATCAGAAAGTCCCTCACGTCTTAAGATACATTTCAGAATTTTATCTAACAGTGCTTTCCAACACATTCGTAAGATGCCATCTGTGTGTGTGTGTGTTTTTACTGCAAATGAAATCTCAACTTGCCTTTAGGGTTTGCGTGTTTGTTATATCCATCAAGCTGTGACCTTAACAGTTCCCTCGTAGAAATTGTACTTGAAACAGGTATTCATAAAACACAGGCATTTTGGCAAAAGAAGAAATTGTTTTCACCAGAAGCAAGTGTCATGGTGTGCTGTAGAGGCTGATTAGCACAGCCTGTTGAAATGATTTATTGTGTTTACATAATGGAAAAAGATGTTGTCCAGAAAAACATGTCCTAAGCAAAGGCAGGGGCAGAGAGAGAGAGAGAATATAAATGAGCTGTTTCTTTTTATCTTAGGAAGAACCAGAATTTCCACAGGTCAAAGAGATGGAGGTCAAGGCAGCCAACCGAGGCCTTGCTGGCACCCTGGGGTACCAGCCTCATGGGGAGCCGGGCGCCTTATTCATGTTATAAACTAACGGAGTTTCTCCTTCTGTTTTTCACAGGCCAGACAAACCCTAGAATTTTACTCCTGCACTTCTGAAGAGATTGATCATGAAGATATCACAAAAGATAAAACCAGCACAGTGAGGGCCTGTTTACCACTAGAATTAACCAAGGTATAGAGAATTTTCCTCCCAAGGCATGTAATACAATGAAGGGCTATGCTTCTAAAAATTTGCATATTTCTGGCGTCCATCATTATGGGACTTTAACAGGCTCTACTTCAGAAGTTAGATTTCAGGGAAAAAATTATAAAAACAGATACATTTTTTCACAACAATGTGAATATAGTTAATACTTCTGAACTATACACTTAAAAATAATTAAGATGGTAAATTTTATATGTTTTTACTTTAATAAAAAAATATGCCTGAGATGGAAAGTCAGAAAGATTTATATTAAGAATTAACCTTTGATATACGATTTTTTTCCTTCTAGAATGAGAGTTGCCTGCCTTCCAGAGAGATCTCTTTCACAACTGTAAGTCACAGTCAGAAAGTGAAAGCTTTCAGTCCATATGATGACTTCATATCATTGATGTCTGATTATTTTTTTCTTCTAGAGTGGGAGTTGCCTGACCTCCAGAGAGACCTCTTTTATGATGGTAAGACACACAATTCTTAAATGCAGTGGGGGTGGGGAATGTTTTTAGCCCATCTCCATGGTTCCTTCCCCATTTTGTCTTGTCACCCAGACCCAGTGCCTCAGTAGTATCTATGAGGACTTGAAGATGTACCAGGTGGAGTTCAAGGCCATGAATGCAAAGCTTTTGATGGATCCTAAGAGGCAGATCTTTCTAGATCAAAACATGCTGGCAGTTATTGATGAGCTCATGAAGGTAAGGCCCCGTCCTATCGGTGAGAGAGCACCTTCTTCATGCCGAAGATAGCCAGGCAGGGTCCTTGAAGAAGAAGTATAAAATCAGCCCTTCCTGGATTGGGAGAGGCCTGGAATCTCCTCTTTTGAAGGCCCTACAGGGCTGTATTTTGGGGGATGCAGCCTTAAGGGCACCCTCTACAAGGGAGGGCACATGCAAACAGATCACATTTTAAAAAGCAGCCTCCTATTTGTTGACCCTGTGGCAGGCTCCAGGCTCTATGCAGATGTTTTCATGCATCTTCTTATGTCGTTCCCCACAACAACCATATGCGGTCTGTACAAAGAAGGAAACCAAATCTTAGGAGAGTTAAACCACTTGTTTGAGGTCACACTGCTTATAAGAGGCAGAGTCAGGATTTGAAATCCCTTCAAGAGAATTCCACTACACTTCTCACCTCTAAAGGCTCCAGGATGTGTGTACAAGGCACCAGAATGCGTTTCCACAGATATTGCTGGGAAAACAAGCAGGGTTGGTGCCTGACGTTGACCCACTGTGAACAAAAATGTGAACGAAATAGAAGAATCACCTATTATCTGGGGACATCCACAATGTTACTCATAGGCAAGAACTTGCTTTGTAATGTTCTGAATCACCATAGTACACAATGCTAACACAAAACATAGAAATATTTACAAAAGAGAGGGTGATTAGGGCCTGGGATAAAAATATGCTGGCAGAAATCATTTCTTGAAAAGTAACTGATTGACTTTTATTTTATTCTTTTCTTTTCTTGTGTGTGTATGCACACCAAATTACTTGTTTGAAAGGCAGTGAACTTAAGGAAAGTATCAAAGAATGTTACCATCCAGAGAATTGTAGTTGTTAGTCCATTTTCAGGTGGGTGATTGGGGACTGGAATCAATTCTACCAGTAACCAGACAACGATGCCCAAGTCACTTAACCCCTCTGCGCCTCAGTTTGCTTCTGTGTAAAATGAGATGTCTTTACCGACACTACTTTATTTTAGGCTTTTTGTGAGGAACATGTGAAAGTATTGATTATTGAGCAAATATGAAGACTTTATTGTGTTATCAAATCGAAGAGCTAAAATTGGGAAATCCATTGCCTGGTTTACTTACCTGACACAGACGGCGTGTCTTTAGTAATCAGGTCTGTTACTGATAGAATTCTGATCAATGGCAGTTCATCATCTCCCTGTTCTAAATAGAACTGGGCTTTTTAAGGTAACATATATAAAAATTAATTAGATATTGCAGCAAATATCATCTTAAAGGAACTGTATCTTTCTAAAACACATCTCCCACTGATGATGTTCTGACCCTTAGCTTTGAGGATCTTTTCAGAGCTCACTGAAGATATGTATGCCTGGATAATGAGTATTTCTCCTCTCAGGTTCTGCCCAGCCATCTCGCCACGAGTATATTTGGGTTGAATTTAGGAGTATAATGAGGGACTGAGTTGCAGGTTTTGAGACATAGATTGATTTCACCTGTCTTTAGAGATGAATGCTTTAATTTTGGAATACCGTACATGACATGCTTAATATTCATTGTCTTAGGCCCTGAATTTCAACAGTGAGACTGTGCCACAAAAATCCTCCCTTGAAGAACTGGATTTTTATAAAACTAAAATCAAGCTCTGCATACTTCTTCATGCTTTCAGAATTCGTGCGGTGACTATTGATAGAGTGATGAGCTATCTGAATTCTTCCTAAAAAGCTGAGGTCCTTGCCAATCTTAAAGTCATTTTGACAAAAATTTGAAATGCAGAAATTCTAATAGGATGTAGGTTAAGAGCTGGGGAGGGGGAGGCTTAACCTGGTCCTACTTCAGCTCACACAGGAGTTTTCATGCTTATGTTTACATTAGTTGCATCACACAAAACTTGAAGGATGGGAATTTTACATCTGCATGATTCCTTTGATCAGGTGTCTTTGCCATTTACTATGGATAAGTTGTCTTTAAGTTTTTATGAGCAAATTGCTAAGGAGGGAAAGTATCCTCTCTGATATGTTTTTCTTTCCCTTTAAGAGAAGAACAAGAATTTATAAGCTATTTCTGTACCAAAGTGTTTGTAGAAACAAATATGCAAGGATAATTTATTTTTAAGTATTTATTTATGTAATTTTGTGTTCATGAAAGCATGTGAACTAACTTATATTTATTTATATTATATTTATTAAATTATTTCTTATCATGGATTTGGAAAAACACTTTTTAAATGTTCTAAAAATAAAATGATTGAATTAAAATGATTCTCATATTTTCCTAATGTCATTGGACTACTTTAAGTGTTAAAATACACACTGTGGAAAAACTGAAAACTCTGATAAAATTTCAACAAAATTACCCTAGAAAGAATGCCACAGTATTCTTATCCATTTCCTAGTTCCCTTAATCTAAGTTTTAAAGGGAGCCTAGACGAGATTTGCTTTATTACTCAGGCAACTGAGTGAGTTATGGTTTTTGAGAGTTTATTATTTTTGTTCATCATCTGAGTCTAAAAGTAAACTGTGTATTAGACAAATATGTCATAATATTCTTCAACTGGGGAAAATGCCACTAAGATGCTTTCTACTTATTCTAATTTTTGTGACTCTTTGGGCTCTGAATAGGGAAGTTGTTTCTAAATTAAAACCAAAAAAGCTCTCTATTTGCCTAAACTTATAGAGAACTTTTGCCTGAACCACATGGATAATTACCTTGTTCTGGATTAAGAGATGTACCCTTAATGAGCTAAATGTTAAATTTCATCTTTTTAATTCTCTAAACCATGTGAATTTTAAAAGATGTATGACTTAGTCTATTTTGCGCTATCACAGAATACCTGAGACTGGATAATTTATAAAGAATAGGGATTTATTTCTCACTGCTCTGCAGGCTGGGAAGTCCAAGTTCGAGGGGCCAGTATCTGGTGAGGGCCTTACTGCTGCGTCATCCCGTGGCAGAAGGGCAGGAGAGAGCAAGACAGGGCTGAAGCTGCTCCCACCGTAAAGGCATTAACCCATTCATGAGGGCAAAGTTCTCATGGCCTAATTACCTCTTAAAGTTCACATGTCTTGATACTGTTACAATGACAATTAAATTTCAGGGTGAGTTTGGGAAGGAACAAAGCATATTCAAACCATAGCAATTCACCTGACAGAACACAGTATAATTTTAGTGCTTTGATAATCCTGTTCCTCCTTACACATAAAAAATGAAATATTTATAGTGACCACCTCTCCTCAGCTGCTCCACCCACCAGATTCGAATCCTTATCTTTGTGAAGTGGAAGAGGAATGTGTGTGGCCTTCCCAGGTCCTCCTCTGTATGGCAAACTTCCTCATTTTTCAGATTCTCACCCCATCATATATTCAAATAGATACAAATCATCAGAATCCAGATCCCATCACTTATCTCCTTTTCTTGAGTGATTTCTCCAGAAATTGGTTGAGTGATCTGCAAGTGCTTTGCAGATTGGTTTCTTTCAAGTGTCAAGCTTGGGGTTTCAGGAGCTCTGATTGTGAGGAGCGTCTAATGGGCTTGTAGAGTTGCTGCCACTCCCCACTTGGAATGGTGATTGCTGGTTGTCTGGGCCTCGAATTAAGGAGGGGCAAGCGGGCAAGCAGTCCTCCAGGGACTGGGTTTCTATAGAGGAACATGGGTGTTACTTTGGTTCCACAAACTGCCACGAGATAGGCTTCAAAAACACGAGTGGCCCAAGAAACGTTTTCACAACTAATTATATTCTTTATTACATAGTCAGTTTTCTACTTCTTTTTTTCTCCTTTAAACCTGGGTCTGCAACTTACAAGTAGCATGACCAAATTGTTTCACCATTCCCCATCTGTTTCCTCTTCTAAGAAAGGAAGGTAATACTGGAACCTACCTCAAAGGATCAGAGCGAGGGTTAAATGGGACAGCTCACACAAAGCGCTAGCCTTGTGCCAGGCACATAGTAAGTGCACAATAAATGTTAGCAAATTTTGAAAATTATTGTTAGTTTTTGTGATTGGCAACTGCGCAAAATTGGAATTCAGAAAACCAGAACCTAATTCACAGGGTTATTGCGAGGATTATATGACACAGTACGGTGCTGGAATCTAGTCGGTGCTCCACGTCAATTTGCTCCTAAAATTGTTTCAACGCCTCACCAACGCCCTATCCCCCCACAGCACTCAGCATACTGTGCATGTTCAGCACAAGCAGCTGCCTGGTGCAAGGTACGAGAACAAATAGGCAGGATCCCTGCCTTAAGAACAAAGAGCAGGGAGCAAAGTAACTTCGTAAGATCGAATTCCCCCAAAACTACTCCCAGCCATAGCCAATTAGAGATTCATTTGATTAACAAACTACTTTATTAAGAAGAAACTAAACCTTAAAAGTGTTTCTCACACTTGAGAATGACTAAATCAGAGATCAATGTGAGAAACATTTAGCTGTCAGCTGCCCCACTGAGGGTCCAGAGCTTCGGGGGAGAGAGAACAGTTCTGGGAAATGGTCGGGGCAGACATCCAAAGGTGAGTACTGGAAAGTCGAAAGAGATGTAAAATGTCCTTTGACACCCAATGGAAGAAAGAAAACACAGGGACAAGTGGGAAGAACAGAAGCTTTGTGGAGGTCCAGCACTGACGGGCATCATGAGTCCTCTCTGTGTCACCACCCTGGGCCATTCAGGTGTTCTCCTTGTTCGAGGACTAAACATTTGTTTCCACCTAGCATAATTTTGGCTTTCCATTATATTTTAAGGCAAACTGCATTATAGTATGTGAAATAAGAAAAAAATCCACTCACATTTTCCAAAAATTGAATTCCGTGTACTCGAAATGGTTTATAATAAAAAAATATGAAATGAGATGTGTGTCAGCTTTTTCATTGAAATGTATTTGGTGAGAACAAGCATACAAACTAATTATATTTAGGTATCTTTAAATTTGATATTAAAATATGAATATGAATTATGACATCAATGTAACATCAAATACATTCATGGAACCTGTTTTAGAAAAAATAGTAGCTAATGCTTACTGTGTGCTCACTACATACCAGGCATGTTTCTAAGTGTTTACCACAAATACATATAATCCTCCTGATAACCCTTTTTACAGACAAGGAATCTGAAGCAGATCACGTCAGGTGACATGGCGAGTAGGTGGCGGATGCCGTGATTTGAACGTGTGCTTCCAGGCGGCCTGACCGCAGCCTGTGCAGGCAAACACGGTGCCCTTTTGACTTTCATATTAAAGTCACAGTAGGTCAAGAGCACACTTTCGCCATAACCACACAACTATCATCGCAATTATTTAGGTATCTCCCCTCTCCCACACTACATTGTGAGAACCTCAAGTATAGGAAGAGTCAAATTACGTATGTATTTGTGTTCCTAGCCCCTGGCACGCAAAATGATAGAGAGAGAAAGGGAAATCTTCATGGGCTTTGACATGCTTCTGATTTCTTATTGTAATCTAGAAATAAAAAAGTCCTTAGTCTTTGAAACTTATTCCCAATTACAAAAAAAAAAGTTAAAAAATTGAAAGCTACATATACTTACCTCATTCAAAGTAATTATACAGTTCATAATAGAGAAAATCCAAAATTCATGAGCATTTTGATTTAGTTAAAATAATTTAAATATCTATGGTTTAGGACTATGTGGTTACTATCCTTCAAAAACAGTGTGCCAACAAATCATAACACAGCAGCGAATTGGAAAGTGTTAATACTTTACTTGCTGTTATGTTGCAGATGACTCAGAAACGCACTCCTGGACCGCAGCTTCGAGAGACCCAAGCAATCATCTCATCTGCTGGTTTGTAAGTGGCCCAGGAGCAGGTCAGGGCCCAGCAGGGTCCTCAATATCCCCTCAGAGGCACTCTCTCCTCAGTGACCCCCACAGGACAGCTCCACTTTGAGTGCTTTAAGAATGCTAGTTCCAGGTAAGATTTCTCTCCATGGCTCAGGAAAACTTTAAAACTCACTGAACTCCAAGTACTTTCCTATAATTGTTTTGATAAGGAACAGAATGATCTTTCAGTTTTCCAAGCTTGATTGAAAGGAAAACGCTACTATAAATTCTTAGAGCATCTTCCCTTCTGAAAATAAAACTCATGCCACAGCTTACAAAAAACAACAATAATAGACTTCTGTAAAATAAAAGTGACAGACTAACCTGAGGATTCCTACCCAGGAATTTACATCAGGATTGGAACAAGTGAGATCTAAATCCACAGTGGGGCCGGGCGCGGTGGCTCACGCCTGTAATCCTAGCACTTGGGAGGCTGAGGCCGGTGGATCACTCAAGGTCAGGAGTTCCAGACCAGCAAGAGCGAGATCCCATCTCTACTAAAAATAGAAAGAAATTATCTGGACAGCTAAAAATATATACATAGAAAAAATTAGCTGGGCATGGTGGCGCATGCCTGTAGTCCCAGCTGGTCGGGAGGCTGAGGCAGGAGGATCGCTTGAGCCCAGGAGTTTGAGGTTGCTGTGAGCTAGGCTGACGCTACGGCACTCACTCTAGCCAGGGCAACAGAGTGAGACTCTGTCTCAAAATAAATAAATAAATAAATAAATCCACAGTGGGCTCCAGGGTGGATCTGGAGGTCCCAGCTAAGAAGCAGGGGAACCTCGGAACTCAGAGCCCAGAATTCAATCCCAGGGCCTGTATGTTAGCATCAGCAGCTGCAGAGCCATCATCAGGAGTTCTCAAACCATGGCATGTGGGAAGAGAGGCCT